CTCAGTATCCTTGAGCAACTACTCTCTATCAAGCACTGACCTAGGGGCTAGCAGCCGAGATAAAACACAGCAAAGCACCTGAAGGTCTGGAACTTAGAAGAATAAGTACAATAAATAAACAAACTGTGTATGTGTGTTTAAAAGGCAGGCTACATTAACAAAAAGTAACCATAGGGTGGTCAAGGAAGGCCTCTGTGAAGAGACAGTCAAAGTGAGGAAAGCCTGCAGAGGGAGGGAATATTGTGATGAAACTAGCCGCACACAGATATGGAGGAAGAGCATTCCAGACAGAATGTACAGCAAGTACAAAGGCCCTGAGATGAGACTGACCTCATTATGTTCAAGAACAACTAAGAAGCCAAGTGGCTACAGCAAGGCAGAGAGTGATTAGAGAGGAAATCAGGGAGTTGGAAGTAGGGGCTTAATCATACAGGGTTTGGTAAGATCACATAAGGCTTGGTAAGCCATGCTTAAGACTTTAATCTGAGTGTGATGGGAAGCCACTGGAGAGGGAAGTGATGTGAATTAATTACATTTAAAAGTTCACTCTGACTGCTGTCTCCAGAACTCATTGCAGAAGGGCCAGAAGAAGAGCAGTGATACAAGTTGGGAAACTACTGCAAAAGCCCAAATAACAGGAAAGTCCCTGGGTGGTACAAAGGGTTTGTGTTCAACTATTAACCTAACCTGAACATGACCTGAGCCATGGTATCTTCAATAGCCTCATATGCATGTGAATGCTGGACAATGAATAAGGAAGGCCACAGAAGAATTGATGCATTTGAATTATGGTGTTGGCAAAGAATACTGAATCTACCAAGGACTGCTAGAAGAACGAACAAATCTGTCTTGGAAGAAGTACAGACAAAATACTCCTTAGAAACAAGAATGGCCAGACTTTGTCTCTTGTACTTTGGTTATTTTATTTGGAGGGACCAGTCCCTGGAAAAGCACATCATTCTTGGTAAAGTAGAGGGTCAGCGAAAAAGCAGAACACCTTCAATGAGAAGGACTGGCACAGCAGCTGCAACAATGCACTCAAGCATACCAACAACTGTTGGTTGTTGATTGTGCAGGACGGGGCAGTGTTTCATTCCATTGTACATAAGGTCGCTATGAGTCAAAACCAACTTGGCAGCACCTAACGACATTTACCTAAAGGTTGATGGTTTGAACCAATCAAACGGCACTGTGGAAGAAAAGGCCTGGCAATCTGCTTCCATAAAGATGACAGCCAAGAAAACCCTATGGAGCAGTCCTACTCTCTAAACACATTCCAAAAAAAAAAAAAAAAAACCATACACACTGCCACGGAGTTGGATCCAACTCATAGCAACCCCTACTTGGGTTTCCAAGGTGGTATCACTACGGAAGTTGATTGTCCAACCTTCCTTTCAAGGAATGGCTGGTGGGTTTGAACCGCCAGCCTTCTGGTTAGCAGTCAGATGCCTTAGGCACTATGCCACCAGAGCTCCCCTAAACACATTGGGTCATCACAAATCAGAATCAACTTCACAGGAATGGGTTTAAGTAAGAGGTAGTAGTGTTTTAGACTTGGAGGTAGCAGAGGAACTACTCATAGTTGGAGATGCAGTAAATTTTGCTAATGTGTTGTACAGAGTACATGGAAAAAGAGGAGAGAAAGGAAAAAAAAAAAAAAAAGAAGGATAAATGCTATAAGTTGCACAATAACTTTCCTACCAAAAAAGATTTTCAAACTTACAGCCATTCTTGTTGGTGTGCTGGTTGTTTGCTGGCTCTTAGCTCCACACTACCCTTCCATTGTCTCCTCTATCTTGCCAGGGACTAGAAGCCTGCAAAGTATATTTTCCAGATCCCTTTGTGAATTAAAAAGTTAGGTCAGCCAAAGGGAAGTGATACCAAATTAAAGGTAGGAGAAAAGGAGAAGCCTCTCCTCCCCCCAAGTTTCTGCTCTGAGACAGCCATCAGTGAGCACCCATAAGCTACGCCAACCTCCAGCAGCATCGGTGGCCAATGCAGCAGTGTCAATGAGACTTTAGGCTCCTGGTACTTGCATCAGCAACAAAAAAAGCAAGTTCCTGGTTTCCTGCCAGGTAACAATCAGTATCCACACTTCTAGGCTCTTGACAATTTTGTTCCTCCAGGCTAGGGCCAAGTTACTTCCCACATTTACTGATCTCTGGGTACCATCAACTTTAGCCTTTTTATTCCTCCAATCCTTCAACACTTTTGTTAACAAATTCTCTTTTTAAAACCTTTCTGCTTAAAATATCTTAAGTGGTTTCTATTTTCCTGAATGGATGCCAACCAAAACAGTTAAGGAAGGAGTATCCACTCTCCCAAGTCAAACATTCACATATTTTGTTCATTAGATATAAAACCCCAAAACTAAACCCACTGCCATCAATTCAATTCTGACTCATAGCAACCCTACAGAGTAGTACTGTCCCCATGGGGTGTCCAAAACTATAAATCTTTACAGAAGTAGTCTGCCTTATCTTTCTCTCATACAGGAGCTGGTGGTTTCAAACCACTGACCTTTTGGTTAGCATCTGAATGCTTTAACCACTGTGCCACCAGAGCTTCTTAGATATGGGTATATCAAAAAAAAATCAAACCCACTGCCACTGAGTCAATTCTGACTCATGGTGACCCCAACTGGGATTCCAAGGTGGTAAATCTTTATGGGAGCAGATTGTCCCATAGTCTTTCCACGGTGCAGCTGGAAGGTTTGAACAGCCAACCTTCTGGTTAGCACTCAAATGCCTTAAGCATTGCGCCACCAGAGCTCCTTTAGATACAGGTACAGCAAATGCTATTATGTCCTTTTTATAGGAGAGTAAACTAAAAAAAAGGGGGGGGTATTGAATGAATTGAATACATACAATTAAATACATAGCTAAAAATAGTAGAGCATGAACTCAGTCTAAGTGGTCTATCTAAATCCTGTGTTCCTTTCACAATGTTAAAGTCAAGAAATACTAACACTTTCCATTTTAAAAAAGAAAAAAGTCATTATTAGTGTCTGCAGAGGTTTTAGGAAACCAGGTGCACATTAAGAGCATTAGCACTAAAAAGACTAATCTCTAGCCCCTTGAAACAAACTAAAAACATACGTGTGTGTATATATCTCGTTTCAAACAAACCTAACTTTTGAATAGTTTATTCTAAGAGAGTAATTTCTAAAATATAGGTTTGCCTCATTTTGTTGCACTTTGCTTTACTGCATTTCACAGACACCGTACCCTATTTTTTTTTTTTAATTACATAGTGAAGATTTGTGGCAACTTTGTGTCAAGCAAGTCTATCAGTAAAATTTTTCCAACAGCATATGCTCACTTTGTGTCTGTGTCACATTTTGGTAATTCACAATATTTCAAACTTTTTCATAATGCTATCACACACTTAACAGACTACAATATAGTGCTAATTTAACTTTGCATACACCGGGAAACAAAAAAATTCACGTAACTCATTGTGTTGTGATACTCACTTTATTGGAGAAGTCTGGAACCAAACCTGCAATATCTCCTATATTTTGAATATATATGTACTTTGAACCAAGATTTCTTGACAAGACTACTTCTATATACACTTAAACATTTATATACCAACATTTTACTTTTGCCATAACTTTTCCCATATAAAACTATGTTGCTATTATTAGGTGCCATCAAGTCAAATCTGACTCAGTGACCATATGTACAACAGAACAACACAGCCCTGCACCAGCTTCACAATCCTTGCTATGCCTGAGCCTATTGCTGCAGCCACTATGTTAATCCATCTCATCAAGGGTCTTCCTCTTTATTACTGACCCTCTACTTTACCAAGCATAATATGTTTCTCCAGGGACTGGTCCATCCAGATAACATAACCAAAGTATGAGAGACAAAGTCTGGACATTCTTGTTTCTAAGGAGCAGTCTGGTTGTAAGAAACTATTCCAGTTGATAAAACTATAGCACAAAATAAAGTATTCCTATATGAAGCAATAATATGAGACTTACTAGTTTAAAGAAAATATTAGAGACAGGAATATTTCAAAAGATAATATAGTATTATGAAGAAAACATTTAACTAATGATGTTCAATTGAAATCAATAACATTTACCAAAAAAATTTTAATTCTCACTGTATTTCATTTTTAATGAAGTTTAAACCCAGAAAGTCATAGGTCATTTGATTTAAAGAAAATAAAATATACTACACACTGGCATATAATGTATGCTAGAAGATGAAAAAAAAAACAAATAAATTGTCATTACAAGCAAATTAGTGCAGCTACAATTTGAACTAAAATTGAAATAAATATTGTCAGGTAACTTCATTCTTTATATGTTGAACAACAAAAAATGAGAATAGAAAAGTAGCAAATTTTACAAAAAATGTAAGTATTGACGTATAATTATAGATAGCTTCTAATAAATTCTGAAGCACTGAATAATGTATGACAGTCATATAAATTAAGCTTTTTAAAAACTATATAAGAAGCATGTAGCTTATAAGCATACATTTTCAGTAAAATTTTAACAAAATTTATAAAGGTATTACCTAACATTTCAGAAGCAGTATATGAAAGTCCTCTAATCTAATTAGCTCAAAGATTACAGCAGTTTTTAATACCAGCAGCTTATTAGAGAAAGGGGATATATTTGCAAGTAATGCACAAATACTTTATAGCATTTAGAAGTAGCTAAATTTAGAATGATGATTTTTATTCCTACATTCTTAAAATCACATTTAAAATGTACAAAGCCACATTCACAGGAATAAAATTAACTCTTTTGGGTGTGCATTTCATTATTTAGGTCACTATATCAGAACTACAAATAAAACATACATACTTTGCTCTCTCTTAATTTCCCAATCTGTGTATATGCACATTTTAGAGCTGCTCATGTTATCCAAAATCAGTGAATTCCAACTTACATTAACCAGAATCAGTGATTTCTAACTTAGGTCATTACATAAAATAATGTAACATGGTCATAATAGCACCTAGTTACTGATACTTACTGTGTGAAAATTAATCATTTCTTGAAGGCTGTCAGAAAATTTGGTCAAACTTGTCTGGGAAAGAAATCAAAGAAAACCAAGTCATTAAGAGCTACAAAACTGGCCACAAATGTTACTTCAGTATTTCTAACAGAAAAAACAGTTACATCGTAAATAACAACACTTATTTCCAACAACAATCTTATTTCATGGGCATGCTCTGTAGAGAGGTCAAGTCTATATGTTTTAATATATAAAAGTCAAAGAATTTGTATTAGTATAGAAAAGTTAAAAAATTAGTATTGCCCTCTCAATCATATGCTAACAAATAAGAATAGCATATGTAAGCCTAAAGGTAAAATCATTTGCGTATATCAAGACTGTGCCCATTAAGGCAGCTATGGTCAAATAATTATCAAACTGCATCCGTTTCTTTACCAGTTCTTACTACTCATGAAAGAAACATCCTAACAGAACACAGCACAGCAAGGGATATAAGCTAACCTAGCATAACTGGCTGACCAGCACTGTCCTACACAACTGCCATAGAGTTAGATACAATTCTTACCTTAATACTCTCTACTTGCCTAAATTAGCAGCTACTAGTAAGTAGGATAGGAGCTCTGGTAGCATAGTGCCTAAGGCACTTGAATGCTAATCAGAAGGCTAGAGGTTCAAACCCACCAGTCACTCCTCGGAAGGAAGATGGGGCAATCTACTTCTGTAGTGATACTGCCTTAGAAACCCAAGGAGGGGTCGCTATGAGTAGGGTCCAACTCCATGGCACATAACAACAACAACAGCAAGTAGGATAGGAGCTCTGGTAGTATGGTACCTAAGGCACCATGTGACCGCTAACCAGAAGGTTGGCAGTTCAAACCAACCAACCACTCCTCGGAAGGAAAATTGGGCAATCTACTTCTGTAGTAATACCGCCTCGGAAACCCAAGGAAGGGTTGCTACGAGTTGGATTTGACTCGACGGCAGTTAGTTTAGTTTAGTTTAGTTTAGTTTAGTTTAGTAAGCATGATCCTGCTCATGTCCTGGTAGGTGCTTCAGCCCATGTAGCAGCAAGTAAACTTAATAAACTGACTGAAGCAACAGAAACCTGGCTTAGGAGAATGATGCTAGATATTCACAATGCAAATCAATCATCAACTTCTAACAACATCAGAAAACAAGATTACACAAGATAGCAAAAAGAGATAATACCTTTTCTATTTCTAATTTTTAGGTCACTGTACTAGAATTGAAAATAAAAAGTATATTAAGAAGGTAATTCTTTAGCATCTTGTTGCATTTATCATTTTAACTGTAATTTCAATAATACTAACCTCAACTACAGCATCATTACTAGAATACTGTGCCAGGTCTCTAATCCCATTCATGAACTGCTTATTTGCAACACAAAAGGCTTTTCCAGTATCAATCATCGCAATACAAAGTTTCACAAGCTGAAAAAGAAAAAAAAAATTATACGGGTTTGAAAATAATTTTACAAATGACTTGGCTGAACAAGCGTTGACAGAAACATGAGTTAACATAGTTAAAATAAACTATGGTTCATCAATAAATCCAAAATAGACTAAATAAAAATTGTGCTTTTTCCATTGGGTTTCTGAAAGAAAATCATAGGATAATTGTACCAAAGTTCAAAGAATAGAACGCAGAGTCCATCTGACATCAGGAAAAAAAAAAAAAAAAATCATTTTGTCAATTCAATTCAGTCCCATAAATTAACCCTGTAAATATTTATTAAGCACATCTTAGAAGGCAGGCAGAGCAAGCAGTATGATAAAAGGTTTTTAAACCATGTGGCATGTTGGAGGAAAGGTGAAAAAACTGGAGCAGTGCATTAGTCATGCTGGTCGCTTCCACATCTGTCAAAGCAGATGTCCAAGGCACTGTGCTAAGTCTTTACAGTGCCTTCTTCTTCCTCTCTCCTTCTCTCTTTTATTTTTCTTCTTTACCTCGTTTCTTTTTCCCCTCTTCCTTCCTTTCTTTTAAACACAGAACATTTTCTTGAAACAAAATCTTGGGTAAAAGTCCAATTAAAAAAAAAAAAAAAGCCAGGTAAATGTGAAATACTCTAAACAAAGGAGGGGAAGTAGGGAGGAGGACATCAAAAAGAGAACCAAGAGGCCAGAGAAACTCTAGAAAACCCCTAAGGATCTCAGAGTATAATTTAAACCTGTTGCTCTAGGGCCTAAAAGAACAGAAATTTAAAACATAATCTCACCTCTCAAGAAGCTCTTTTTCTAACCAGCAGACAAGCAGATTAATTTTTCACAGCACTGACACAAGTGCTACAACACACCATGTGTAAGAGAACAGAGCAACAAAACCTGAGCAGGCTTTTTGGAAGTCAGGGGTGGATTCCTGGAAAAGGCAACACTGGAGATAAGACCAGAAGGCCAACAGGAATGTAAGGGCCAATCATATAAGGATAATGGGAAGATACTAATCTATCAACAGCATGTGCTGAGACCCCAGAAACTTAATAGGGCAGGGAAACCTGAGGCACTAAGTACTTAGTAGAGTGTAAAAATGTGAGGGCATTAAAACGTGTGATGTTGAAAATGCATTCCAGGGCCCAATCTTGGAGAGAAAAATAAAAACAACTTGTAAGTAATGTTTAGGTGTTCAGATTTTATACGAAAGGAAATGGGAAGCAATTAAAGACATTAATTAATTAATTGAGTGAGTTGAACAGAGTTCCATTTTAGAATGATCTGAAAGGAGGGAAAATAAAGACAAGAAAATAGGAAGAATAAAGACAAGGGGGTAGCCTGTATCAAATCAGTAAGCAGAGAAAGGAGAGAAGAGAGGAATTCAAGAATTGCTGTCGTCTACCCCTGTACAGTTAAGCAGACTGTGCTCTGCCAAGGAGATGCTGAATTAGGTGCTGAAATCCACCCTGCACTCTGCTTTCCAAGCTACATAGGAGCCCTGACACAGGCTGTATCTGCTACAAGATGCTAATTTACACAAACTAAGACACCATAATGGCTAGCATAGCAGAAACTCCTATTTTAACCATAATGAGCTTGGTCTAGATGGGCCTATCATGAGATAAGCCAAGTGGAAAGTCTATCAAACACAACTAAAAGGAGGTGTTTGAAGCTCAAAAAATAGGAGTGGTGGGCCATAGATATAGTTACAGTCATCAGCAAGCATACAAAGTGTCAAAAAACCAAGAGTGAGCATATAAAAAGACCCCACAATTGACACTAAGGAAGAAAAGGGAAAGACAGGAGGCAAACCAAGAAAATGATTTCACCAATGTCAATAAAGAACAAAGTCCAAAAGATGGATGATAAATAGGTTGAAAATTCACAAAGACCAAAATTTAAAAAGACTAAAAAAATGCCTAATGGATTTTGTGACCAAGAGTCACTAGTAACACTGGCTGGCAAGAACAGTTTTAAGAGAAACTGATTGGGGGTGGGGAAAACAATAGCCAAATTACAGTGAGTTATGAACAATAGATAAAGAAGACATGGCCATAGGTCAAAGTTTCCCAAAATACATTCTACAGAACATCCTGCAGGAACATCCTGTAGCAAAGGAAGGATTCTGTGATCAAATAAGTCTGGGAAACTCCGAGTTTTAAAAAGTTACTCAAGTTTTTTCTTGCTAAACCTTTGAGAATTATTAACATACTAATTTGCACTGTGAATCCAACAGAGAAGGTGTAATATTCAGCATTTCCCAAAAATATTTAACCACAGAATTTTCCTTAGAGGTAACATCTCATGGGACCAGTGTGGTATAGTAAATTACATAGCATGGCTTTTCTAGCCATAAGTCTTTGTAAACTCCATGGTGGAATTTGCCATGAGCAACTGAATAGCTCTGATTGTTAGTTATCCACCTGGGGTATTTCTGTTGGGAGCAGCATAAAACAATTTTCTGGGACGTTTGCTCTCTCTCAGGCGTGTAGAACTCTGATGCTGGGATGGGTTAGTTAGGCCACTCTGCCAGGCTCAAAAGGAGCCCTCCTAGAGGCAGAAGGAGTCTCTCCAACTGCTGACTGAGATAGACATGCTGCTGAGAGAAATCCGCTCCTGAAAGACACGCACTTGCTGAGAGACAGACGTGAGAGACACGCCCTGCTGAGAGAGATGTGAGAGACGTGCTGCTGAGGGAGAGATGTAAGAGACACACACTGCTGAGAGAGAGACTGCTGGCTTCCAAGTGAGACAGCCGCGTGTGAGAGACTGAGTGCGTTTCTGAACTTGAATTGTAGCCTGTTGCTTCCCTAATAAGCCCCATAATCTGTGAGTTCTGTGTGGCCACTGCAGGGAATTACTGAACCCAGCAGAGAGGGCAGTTGGCAAAAGGTCTGGAGGGAGGCAGCATGTTTGGCCTTGCAGGAATAGGCCTTGGACTACTGATGGTTATTCTGTCTTCCTCTTGTGGAGTTGGAGGAGGTCAGAAGACGAGGCCTCCTTGACCCTTTGACAACCAGCATTACACAAAACCCACTATGAGAAATGCTGGAGAGACTAGCCTTTTAAATAATTTGTCAATTACCACACACACACACAAAGAAATGTTTTAAAAACCAGAACTAATTCTAAAGTTCATATGTAGTAACCATATGCAAAAAAAGAAAAAAGAAACTGAAAAACCAATGGCCTTATATAATATTAAAATACATAATAAAAGTACAGTAATTAAAGTCTGATAATGGATGTGAAGAGACAAACTGATCCATGGAGTGAAACACAGAGTCAAGAAACAGATACCAGCATGCAATATTTTATAAATGTAATATTCCAGCAAGTTGGAGGGGAAAATATCTAATAAATGACGTAACCAAAAACCAAACTCACTGCCATCAAGTCAAGTTGATTCATAGCGACCTCTCCTTGGGTTTCCGAGGCAGTATCTCTATGGAAATAGATTGCCCAATCTTCCTTCCAAGGAGTGGCTGGTGGGTTTGAACCACCAGCCTTCTGGTTAGCATTTAAATGCCTTAGGCACTATGCCACCAAAGCTCCCCCAATTAATGACATGTTGTTGTTGTTATGGTTATGTGCCGTGGAAATGGACCTGACTCATAGCAACCCCTCCCTGGGTTTCCAAGGCAGTATCACTACGGAAGTAGATTGCCCAATCTTCCTTCCAGCGAGTGGCTGGTGGGTTTGAACCACCAGCTTTCTGGTTAGCAGTCAAGTGCCTTAGGCACTACACCTATTATATAGCTCCTACTTGACTGCTAACCAGAAGGGAAGTAGATTGCTCAACCTTCCTTCCAAGGAGTGGTTGGTAGGTTTGAACCATCAGGCTTCTGGTTAGCAGTCAAGTGCCTTAGGCACTATGCTACCAGAGCTCCCTTTTTACAGAATAGTGAAGACAAAAGTCTGATAACATGCTGTTCTGGGGAAACAGGCACTCTCATAATTGTTGGTGGGAGTGTAAACTGGTACTATTTCTATGGAAGGCAATTTAGCAAAATTTAAAACAAATACCCTCTAACCTAGCAATTTTACCATGAGAAACATGTCATACAGATACATTTGCATATAAGCTATTAATACACATAAAGTCATTCATCACAGCCATGATAAAATATTGGAAGCAATCTAATTGTTCATCAGTAGGTGACTGGATAAATAAATTATGCTATATCCATACAACGAGATACAATACAGCCATTAAAAGCCATTAAAAAGAATGAGTCAAGTGCTATAAGTATTAAAAAGGAACAATTTCCAAGATATATCTTGGGAGGATGGCAAATGAGTATATATATATACATATATATATATATATATATATATATATATATAATTGTATAAGCCTGTATATGCTTAGAAAATCTCTGGAAAGACAAATAAGAAACTGGTTCAGTGGTTGACTCTAGGGAAAAAAAAATGCATAGCTAGGTGCAGGGAATAGAAGATGATCAATTCTTCATTTTAGCACCTTTCAAATATGTACCACATATATGGTATTACATATTCAACAAATAAAATAATTCAAAAATAAATTGATTAAAAAAATTTTCCAATCAGAATGACTTCCAGTAAGATGGTGGAATAGTCAGAAAGACTGCACAGACCCTCTTCAACACAGAAAAGGGGAACCAATTAACACAGATACAGAAGACAATCCTGGACCCCTGAGCCTTGAAGGGAAGGATATAGAAGTGGACTAAACTACAACCAGCAGAAGAATCTGCATGAAAACACCAAAAAAAGAGCCATACAGAGCTGTGGTCCAGCAGCAATTCTGACGGCACAGACAGCTTGGACATTGCAGAGTGGTGGTAAGACAAGAATTAACCTAAAAATAGGCCCTGCTAGCCAGGAACTGCATGGAGAACTGCTCTGGTGGCTGGGGAATAAAAGGGGAAGCAGTGAAGAGGATGGCAGGCTGAGCTGTGGACTTTTGTCTTCTGGAGGGCATAGCCATTTTGAATGTCTGTAAGTGGCTTGACCATTTT